TCGTGCCCTTGTACCGTCACATCCTCCACAGTAATCTAAGACGGAGCGTGTAAGTTTACTCGCCAACACATACATTTGAATGTGACTAACAATTGGTTGTTGGCCATTTATCCATTCCCATTGAACAATCTGTTTCTTTTCAAGGTCGACAAGACCGTCCCCAACGTTCCCCCCTGGAGCAATGACGGATACATCTGCAACGCGTGGGGGCTTTGTTGCGTGTGACCGATCGGCCAACCACTCTGACATGGTCGCCTTGCGAGGCTCATGCAACGACACTATCTGGAACTTGACGTTTTGGTGAGTTTCTCTTACAATGGCGACGGCAGCCTCAATCTCTTCTGCAGAGAGAGGATCCAAGGGGTGATGTGTGGTTGCCATGGTGCAATGATTCGAGAAACGAAAGATGAGATGCAAAGGTTGATGATGGTAGTGCCACCTCATCACCCCGCGAATACTACAGCGATTAAATATCTAAACCGGATGTCGAACGTGGGCCAACAACGGGGATTCCCATGCGCTCCGGTATCGTATCAAATGGCGATCGATTCTCATTGGTGTCCGCTCCGTTGATGGCCTGCCAGTTCCACCTCTGAGCATAACCTTGCTTGTTTGGGGAATTTTACCCGGGAGCATGGACAGTGCGAGGCTAAAAGTATTTGACCGGTTCAAGTACTAGTGTATCGCGCCCGGTATTGTCACACCAGACACACTAGTGTATTATTGTATACTTTTTGGTTGGTAAATATATTCTGCCACGGCCCCGCTCTCTCTAACGCGGAAACTTTAGATTGCTGGTAGACCAGTTGACATCATCAGATGATAAGAGTTTATTAAAACTAGTAGTATATGCTCAACGTAGTTGGATTGACCTTGTCCTCGACGTTCCCGACTGGGCTGTTGTCCTCGATATTCCGCACTGGGCTGGTGTTCCCAGCAGTGCCCGCTTGGTTGTGTCCTCGACATTGCTCGCTTGGTTGGTATTTCCAGCATGGCCACGCCGGCAGCCAATTCTCCTAGCGGCCGGCACGTCTTAAGGTATCTACCAATATTAGTAAGCTATAACGCAATGAAACGTGATTTGCGTACTGTGACTGCTGCTGCTGACGCTGTTGTTGTTGATGCTGATGCTGATGCTGATGCTGTTGCTGTTGCTGATGATGTTGCTGATGATATTGCCGCTGCTGTTGATAATAATAGTAACGACAGTGATAATGTTATTATTATTAGCGATAATAATGATGGTGACGGCGACGACAACGACGATGACAGTGGTAGTGGTAGTGGTAGTTGGCAAGAGGGGGGAATAAAGAAAAAAACAAATCAACATCAAGGGAAAGGAAAAACGAGTTGGCATCTGGTGAAAGCAGTCGCCAGCTGGCGTGGAATTACCCCATGTCACGGATGAGGAATGGAGGGGTGGCTCTTTCCTTGCGGGCTGCCAGTCGTCATCAAGCTCAAGTGCTCCATGCTGCGCGACATGACAAGAAAGACATGGAGTCACAGCACCGACAAGACAAGCATGCTACGCCGTAGAATCCCCGAAAAGACAATCAATTCATTTCTACAACTATCGGCTTCACGGCCTGTGTTGATGCATTTGGCAGTCTGGTCCAAGCCCAGCCCTGCCGCGATTGTTGTAGCTCTGGCCTTACCACCGCCTTTGGTCGCAACACTTTTTCCATACTCTCGTGCGGTACAGTCATGATACCTAAACGAAAAGTCGTCTTTACCAAGGGTATTGTCGCACGTGTTCCTCGCGAGCCAAATCCAACCCATTGCGCACCTGGTCTTGGTGTTTTCGGTCGAGGTAGTCGAGCAAAACAGCTTCATATTTCGCCCGGCCCTTGTACTTTGAAACGTCATGGTCCCAGCTACGGATGGCGCTGGCCAACCTGCCTGGAACATAGTCCTCCTCTGCCATCTCGGTAATGGGCAAGAAGTAGGTCCGGATCGTGAAACAAATGGCCCGCGTCCTGGGTAGTCGACGAAGAGATTGTCTCTCGGACCTGAACCAGTGATGGTGAATAATTTTGCCCTCTTCGGCCGTACTCCAGCCCACGTCCGGGTCGTCCTCGTCGCCAATGCTGTGGCTCCACGGCAGCGAATCGTCGACTTGGATGAAATAGTTGCTGCGTCCGTACATAGTATCGGTCTTCATTCTCTGAAAGAACTTGACCATGCCCCTTTCGAGCTTTTCTTGAAAGGAGGGGACGTTTCCAGAGGTGTGAATATCCGACAGTGACATGCCAAACTTGTCAGAGAGTCTCCAAAAGCCAGCCAAGAGAATACACCCGGCCAGGAGGCGATACGTCCCGTCTGGCTGTTCTAGTAACAGGGCCAGGTCATCTTGAATTAACCTGGCACATACTGTCATTGGGTCTTCCCGGAGTGGCCGTTGCAGAATGTTAAAAGACTCGCCCGACCAAATATTGTCAATTCCCACTGCTGTTCGTTTAAACAGGCCGGGATACCGCGCGGGTAGATAGTTTGCGAGCTCCTCGAGGAGCTCCATGGCGGCTGGAACGGCATCCGGGTGAGTCTTGATGCACTTGTCGCCTCGCTCTTGAATGCGTATTGCCTTGTCAGCATGATATTTTGGGAAGTGATTGTCAAGCTCGATCCATTCGTCCCGATCAATGGTACGGAGTCCCATTGTGATGTTGTATTTCGGTCCGTATCTAAAGGCCCTGTACGGGAGCGGCTTTGTATGGCGAATAGACCAGTCGTGATATGGTTGAGGGCTTTGAACCCTGTAACATATCGGGCTGGTAGCGCTTTGAGGGGACTCGCCTTGAGCTTTAGTGATGAGACGCAACGGTCTTCCAACGTCGATGCGCTGTTGGGAAGTGCGTCGGATAGCAATGCCAGTCAAGACTATTAATGCAGCCACTAGCAGGAATGGGGACAGTCCGCAGTCGTTGGACGCACGAAGCAAGGCTGAAATCGACATTATTGCCGCGTCTAGACGAGAGGTTTCACAAGAAACAAGATGCCACTATACCGCACGCTTCTCTGTCTGCCCTGGTGCTCTCAGTGCCTCATATTTGAATGGGATGCGTCTATCTATCATGGCCCCATGACGCCCGAGCCGCCTATAATATTCACATTGGTCTCCCGGGCCACGGTCTGACATAATCCACATGGATTGATTACGGGTAGCTTTATCGGCCGGCAATGTTTTCCCCATTGGGTTTGAGGTCGCTCCCTCCTGCATCACTTACCCCGCGCGCCCGCGCCCAACGGGCAGTCCGTGCAGTGTCGACAAATAAACATGAAGCATGGCCTGGGGTTTCAGCAAACTGGCAAAAGGTGCGCCGTTGCCATGGTGTGGCAATCCAGATGGCAGTACTCTGCTGGTTGAGGCATAAATATGTTGCAAGTTGCCACGGGCTTTGCTCGTAGTTTCCTGATACCAATCATGTTCGTCTCCCAAATTTTCAACCTCGACACTGGGGTCCTATATACAGCCTCATCCCTCTCCATCAGTAGATGAGGACATCATGGAGCATTACTTGGCTCGGCTGATACAGACATGACCAGCAGCCCAATATCCGAGATTTACATGTCAAAAAGCTGCATAACATACAACTCATCCAAATAGTGATCGCAAATCATGTGCTTCCATGACATCAAACCAATGAACTGAGATACAACCAGGAAGCTCTCCATCATAGGCGGTCCAAATAGCCTTCACCAGGTCTTTGGCAACTCTGATTGGTCGCGGCTGTAAAGTGTTCTCGAGTATATCTAAACGTTTCATAATGAACTCGCGAGAGGCGCCAATGCCTGCATCTTCCAACGGTACTCGACTAGAGTCTGTTTGTTTGTCACTTGTTGCAACGATTCCATCGACGTAGTCTAGAATATTGGAGTTGATGCAGTCCAAGTACGCTGCTCCATTAGGTATCCCTGTTTCTAAACGATGGGGAGCCGACGGTGCTGGTGTATCCAATCGGCCGTATCTCAAGCCGGTACTAGCACAGATGTAAAGAATGGGCTGGATAACTCGGCTGCCAGAGTCTGGGGGGATTTTTTTCAGTACTTTGACAAGGTCACATGCCAAGGGGGTAATGAGTTTATCCCAAGAAGCGTGGTCCTCGTCAGGAAGGGCTGATGCAAGTTGCAAGCGCATTGACACCAGGTCCGGGAAGGTGATGTACAGTTGAAGCAAGGCAGAGAGTTGATAAGCTTCGGCAGCACAGGCGAGATGGAGCCATGGTGTTTTTTGATCACCGGTATCGTTCATCCTGCTCACCGATGAGTAGTCCAAGGATAGGAGCTGCTCTTCGAGTTTTTGAGCGCCCTGAAAGGCCTCCATTGCTGCAGAAAGGGCAATCACCCTCCCAGTGGGCCTGGTAAGTATTCGGCGATAGGCCCTACATAGCGTGACAGATCTGGAGAACAAACGTGCCGTCATGCTGGATATGCCTGTCCAAGGATGCGGCAGCAAGTCCGTCATGGTTTCGCTCTTGTTGCGCTCCCGAGATACAAGCTCATCCGTGCCACCTGCTATATCGCCGCCATTCACCACGGCAAGTAGCATTTCCCAGTACACAAGACTGTTTCTGAAGAAGAGGAAGTCTTGTGCCGCATCGTCTCGAGTGTCAAGACACTGATCTGACAGACGCCCAAGCAGAGCCTTTGCCTCCTTGAGGAACGGCAACCCGAGAAGACGGGCGTCCAGCCAGCAGACGGACGTTCCCAAGCAGAGCAGAGAGAACATTAGTCCAGTAGGGAACGCTTCTATGCTAGGATTGCCTTTGATGTTATCCATCTCAGCCTGCACACAAACACTGGCTGTGTTGAGCAGAGCCAGTGCCTGTCGCCTGAGGTGGGGGAGTCTGGCGGAAAGAAAGCTAGCCGACATGCTCTGGAGGGAGTTGAACACGGACGCCGAGCGGTGCCACAATTAATTGGCCAATGTTCGATTCAGATTCACCGTAGAGTCAAATGCAGACCAAGCTGGACAGACTTGTTCAAACCAGCTTTCTATCAGCGCCAGGTTCGCGTCCGGGCCTTCGGTCCAGCGTGGCGCTTGCGGTATGCCCGGGGTCAAAGGCGTAGTGGAAAGATGATTCTGGTTCCATGTGGACAGGCCTTGGTCCGTAATACTAGTCCTCCCAGCCGGTGTCTGGCCCAAAGAAGCGGTCAAGTCGACGTCTAATGTGAGGCCGGCGAGCTGGATAGAGTTGGCCGGCAGTGCAAACATGTGGCTATCCAAGAATCGATCCTCTCCATCTGGGAAGATATCGAAAGGGAGCATAGACAAAGAGGAAACGTCGGGTGCTTCTAGCGTAAAGTCAGGCACAGCGTCGACCATGGGCTCTGGCAATTGCGAGACAAGATGCTGCCCCAAGTCGGATTGTCTTGTTTCCTCCCGTTGTGACACTTGTTGTTCAGAGACGTCGGAGCGACAGCAAAGACTAGGTTGGTGTTTGTACGACCACACAAGGTTACGTGAGTATCCGGCACAAGCAATGCCCTTTTGAAGGCATTTTCGGCAACTAGGCCGTGTCTCGTCACATTTGATCTGCCCGAGTCAGCGCAGTTGGGGGGGCCTGGGGGAAGGG